GTCACTCTCAGAGTGACACAAAATCCATGAGGCTTGGCCACTCCAGTGCAGTCTGGAAGGGTCAGCAGCTTTCCCGGCAGCTCACTCAGCATGCAGTTGACGCCATGACCCTTCCCAGCTCTGAGCTTCTCAGTCATCTGCATATGCCCATCCTTAAAGAACTTCTCTAACATAGGAAAAAAAGCAAGAATTTTGCCTCTTATTCTCTTGTGGATCCCAGAAGAACCTGTACCTTCAGCTATCTGAGCGTAAGGGAAAGAGCAGAGGAAGAAAATTAACCTTTGCTGACTACTAACTATGATAATGCATTTTTCTTTTGTTTTTCTTTTTTTCCTTAATTCTCCCAACAGCTGTTTGCGGAACATCTGAATCTGCCTGGTGAGTTGTGCTCGAGTTTCTCAGGACAGAGACTCTCTGGCACCTGCAGATTCGCATTTCCTCTGAGGGTGTTTGGCACCTCATCCCGACCACTAGCAGTCACTGTGCTCACATGATGTGACACACTGTAATGTCTCAGCTTCACACTCACATGCGATGTTGCCTGTTTATTTGCTCCACTATTACGTAACCAGTTCCAATTCAACAAGCACTTGTAGACTATTTAGTGACAGGATCAATGTTATCTGATAAAATAGGCAGGTACAGTGAGATTTCCCGGTGTTAAAGAGGAAAGAATTTGGGGAAACTTGTAGGTTTCCCACTGGGGACGAGGAGGAGCATGGGAGATTGAATGAGGTCAGTTTGGGACACATTGTATTTAAAGTTCCTTAAGGAAGGTCCACATGCAGCAAGAAGATAGCAATTCTACCCTGGCCTTCTGCAGGATTTACGGCACACTAAGTACTGTGTTTAATGGCCTGCATACAGTCCATTTAATTCTCACAAAGATACATGGTAGGGCACTGATCAGCCTTATCGGAAAGATGCTTTCCCTGAGGCTTAGAGGGGTAAGAAACGTGCCCAGTTTGCCCAAGATGACAGTGAGTAGGTGGCAAAACTTCAGATTTAAATATTAGACTCCATGACAAACAAGAGTCAATGTCCTGTGGTTTGGAGGCAAAGACCCAGTGGAACTGAGCTAGGTCCCACCCCAGTATGTGGGGCCTCCCAGCCTGTAACAGACAAGTACCCGTGTGCCTCTTGGAAGGGCGTTTCTAGACCTACCTACTTCCTTGGATTATTGCAACATTTCAAAGCAATCCAATAGAGCTCGTGGATGGAGCTGAGGGTGGGCACAGGGCATTCACCCACACATGGGAAGGCCGTCCCTGAAATGCCACATAGGGCCACAGGAACGAGAATGGGAAGGTCAAAGGAGAGCTTCTTTCAGGTCTGGCATAAAACCTCCTTCTCAGAAACATTTTGGATGGAATCCTGCAGAATCCATGTCGCCTCTCACTCTTCCCCCCCTTTTCATTGTTAATGAATATATACTAGATTGTCGGCCAGGAGCCGGAAAGCATTTCCGTATTATTTGCATGCGGCTGCTTTGGTCTTGTTTACGCGTCAGGGAACCTGTGACCCGTCACACGTGATTATCGTGTCAGCTTATTAACATGTCAGGGAGCGCACCTCCTGGTCTCCACCTCAGAGGCGGAGCTGCGCGGGGTGTCGGATGTTCTGCTAGCCAGATGAGGCCGAGTCCTGCCAGCTGCCCGTGCCAGGGAAGCCCTGGCAGTAATCAGTACCAAACCTAACTACGAACAGGACCACCCCGGGGGCACATGGCTGCGAGCCAAACCTCCTTCCTACCTTGGTCCGATCCTTGGCAGCCCCAGCCTCGCTCCCACTCCCTTGGGGTGGGGGTGGGGGGCGTCCAGAAACGCGAGTTATTTTAAAGAGGGCAGGGCAGGGAGAAGGGCTGGGAGGCTGCTCTCAGATGCTGGAAGGGTCAGGAGGAGGAGATTCCGGTTAGTGACATCACCAAGGGCTTCACATTTTTAATAAATATTGATGGATGGATGAAAGGCAGAGCGGAAGCCGAGAAGAGACCTACACGTGCTCAGAGATCCTAAGCGAAGGTCACATGGGGAAAGCGGAGTGGTGGTGATTAGGGAACTCAGCGGGCCGCCGCGTTCCCCGGGCCCTCCGGGCCCAGGCCGGGCTGCCGCCTGCTCGGGAGCCGAGCGCGCCCCCCGACGGCTTCTCTCCTGACATCTTTTTGCCAGATGGTCGTTCCTGAATTCTAGAGGTGCTGGGCCCTCCTGGTTCCTGCAACCTGAGCCGAGAGAACTTGGAGGCACCAATTGCGCCTTCCCTCCAGCCCTCTAGGAGCAGGGCCTGGCGCCTAGACGGCAAGGGGCGGCCAGGCGCCGCCGCCCGCCTGCGGCGCCCCAGGGAGCAACGGCGCTGCGCTGGGGTTGCCTGGGGGCCTCGTCCCGCCGGCCAGCTGGAAGCGGGAACCAACGGTTCACCGTTTAAGGGGTGAATGCGCTCTCCACTCAGTCTTGTCCCCCTGTAGGTTTTTAATTAAAATCTAGAATCTCAACAAATTACAAGTGTTATGTATAAACATAATCAGGGTGTGGATCCAATCCATTATAAATTGTTGATAGAAAAAAGAGGAAAAGACAAAACCCCCACAAATACCTAAACAAGCAAAAAAAAAAAAATCTACAGGGTCTTTGCTTCAAAGAATTGCTTTTTGGGGACCCTACCAACGATCCCCCGCCAAGCCCATGATTTGGGGTCAGGGCTGGAGGACCCTCCGACTCCGTCTGGAGCCGAGGCCCCAGGGTCAGCCGGGAAGGAGCGGCCTCCAGAGCCGTGGGGCGCTTGCCGGCTGCTCCGCGCTCCCGCGGCCCGGGCAGGCTGGGCGAGAAAACCCGCCGGGCGTGCGGCCCTGCGCCTGCCTGGAGACCCCCGGGCGCCCACACCCTTCCCGGCCCGGAGCCTGCCTGGCCTTCCGGCCTCGGGCGTGGGGAGGGCCCCGGGCTGCGAACCGTCTGCGGCGTGTGTGCCACGCGCGGGGCCTCAGCGCAGGCACGTCCCGGGGCTGCACATGTGACGCGAGCGGGCCCGGTGTTTGTTGGGGCCGTCGGCGGCTGGGCTGCTCGGAATGCTCGACGGAGCTGATGGCACCGCGGCCGAGCAACGCCCTTCCCGGTTCGCCCACTGTCGGGGTCGCGGGCTTACCCGGCCCTGTGTCCCAAGGGGCGCTCTGCCGGTGGCGGAGACGAAGGGAGCAACGAAAAAACCGCCACGCGCGCGGGCGTGGGGACAAACCCGGAGAGGCCTTCGGGACGGCCGCTCGGCCTCGGCCTCGTCCTCGGGTTCGGCCAGCAGGACGTCCGCCGAAGCTCTGAGGCGACGGGGTCCCGACGTGCCAGCCGGCTGCCCTGCCACGTGCGGCGCCGGGGCTCTGGCGGGTGCGGGCGGCGTCGAGGGACTCGGCCCCACCCCGCCCGACGCGAACGCCCTGCGGGCCCTGGCTCCGGGTCGGGGGGCGGGGCGCGAGCGGGCCCTGCGGTGAGCGGTAGAAAGAGGAGGGGGCGTCGGTGGGCTAATGATGAAAAAGTCCCTCCACCCCGGGCTCCTTAATTAAATGCACGGAGAAAAGCGGGCGAGCACATCTGGTTTCAATCTGCAGCCTTTGATGGCATCAAATGTTCTTCCCAGATCAGGGCTGGGGGTTCTGGGCGAACGGTGGCCGTTTGGAGCCCAGAAAACTTCACGCTCGGACCCCTTTCCCTCCAGTCGAGCTCCTCGGCTCTAGGAGAAAGAAAAAAGGAGAAAATCAAGCAATCACGGGAGAGGCAGCGGGACGCGTGCGTTTAAGAGCACCAAGCGCCCCAAGGCGCATCGCTTTCTCCCCGCAGAGTAACTCGCTCCTAAGCAGACCCTCCCCGCTGTGCCCAGACCCCGGTGTTACCACCCACCACCTCTCGGTGCTCTGGCACCGGCGTCGGCACTGACCCTGTACCTGGGGTCCCCGCGTCCCCGTCCCCGGGCCTCCCCGCGCGCCCCTCTGCGCAGCGACCCCGAGCGCGGGCCCCTGGGGAGGCGGCCTTCCCGTCCCCGGTCACCAAATGGCTCGGGCGCGGGCGGCTCTGCGCGCTCCCGGAGTCCCGGCCCCCGGCCCACTAAATAAAGACTCCCCACCCTGCCGCGGGGTCCCGGCGGCACAGACCCTCCGGCCATGCGTGCCCCGCGCCCTCCGACCCGGCAAGCCCAGCGCAGAGCGGCGTCGCGGTCGCCCGTCGCTTTGGTGCATCATTGGTCCGCCGCCTCCGGAGCCAGGCGGGCATCTGGGCGCCTGCTCCCCTACGCTCGCCACCCCCCACCCCCAGCCCCAAAACTGTTGTTAGAACTGCAGGAAATGCTGAGAAAAAGGCAGGGAGAAAAGAAAGTTTGAGAGAGTTGTGGATTTTTTCCAACAAGTTCCCCGCAGCTGTTATCAAAACATGCAAATGAGATTTTCCAACAGGATCTTAAACAAATGTGGAGGACTTAATGCCGGAGCCACATAATCAGCCCGTTTGAAGTGAGTGTGGGTCTCGGCGTGTCTTTCTGCCGGGATACTATTGCCGGGGAATGATAATTAGACGTTTGCTTAAAAATCCAGCGGGCTCCCTCCCTGCTCCGCGCCCTCCGCCCCCCTCCCCCGCTCCCCTCCCCTTCTCGCTCGCTCAGATGTTGGCAAAGCGGGTTTTCTTAATCAGCCTAGTTTTCGGTCCGAGGGAAAGGAGGAAGGAGATCGCTGCGGAGAAAGGGGGTCTGTGCAACGTCAGGCCCCGCGCAGAGGCCTGGCCGCGTAATTACAGGCCCCCATTAAGTGGAGATCGGCCCTCCCGGGGGTCTCCAATTTTGCTGTATTCCCCCACAGAGCCTCCTCTGCGTGCCAGTTTGTGCCTTTTGAAGTGCCAGAGAGCGTCTTGATCCAACTGGGAGGAAAAAGGAGCCCGGCGAGGAGCGGGGAGAGGGAGGGGGGCCGCCGCCGCCCTCCTCCGGGCCCTCCAAGCCCTTTTCTGCCCCTGCGAGGAGTAAAGTGAGAAGCCCGCTGCCCGGTACATCTGCAAGACATCACGCCCTCCTCCCGAAACCTCAGCCACTCCTGAGGATCCGCAGGAGCGCGGAGCAGGCGGAACGCGCGCTCGAAGACGTTTTAAAGCTGGAACAAGCCTTCTTCTGTTGGTGCCTGAACTCTTGCCTGGGAATAACTTTTTTAACCTTAAAAAAAAAAAAAGAAACCGCTTTGATTCTTCTCTCCCACCCCTTCGCCTCTCCTCTTGTCCGCGACTCCCCCGCCCTGCCGGCCTCCCGTTCCTTCCTCCCCCTTATTATTTTTAGTGCGTGCGTGCGGACGCTTCTGCAGAGCTGGGAGGACTTTTTTTCCCCCCTGACTTGAGCACACGGTGACTTCTTCGTTTCATTTTTCGGTGTGGATTCTCTCCTCGGACCGCACCGGGCTTGGCGCTTCCGAGGCCGCGGAGGGGCTGCTGGAGCGGGGCGCCCGGCCCTGCCGAGGGGCCCCCGCCCCCTGCCCGCGTTTTCTCGTCTCCCCCCTTCTCTCCCGCTCTCCGCTCCCCCCTCTCGGCCCCACGCGGCTCCTGTCCCCCCCGCGCGCCCGCAGCGTTTGGTGTCGATTCGAGCGGGAAGAGGGGGGCGGGTGGGACCGGAGGGGGAGACCATGACCTCCAGCTACGGGCACGTTCTGGAGCGGCAGCCGGCGCTGGGCGGCCGCGTGGACAGCCCGGGCAGCCTCGACGCGCTGCAGGCGAAGAAGAACTTCTCCGTCAGTCACCTGCTGGACCTGGAGGAAGCCGGCGACATGGTGGCGGCGCAGGCGGACGAGAGCGTGGGCGAGGCCGGCCGCAGCCTGCTGGAGTCGCCCGGACTCACCAGCGGCAGCGACACCCCGCAGCAGGACAGTGAGTGGGGCGCGCGTGTCCCGGGCCGGGGGCGGCGGCCACGGGCGGCCGAAAGGGAGGAGAGGAGGGCCCGCCGAGGCCGTGGTCGGGGCGGCGCTGGAGGAGGCCCCAGGCCCCGCGGGGCCGACGCGGCTGCCCTTCGAGCGGGACGGGCGCGGCCGCCGGACCTTCCCACGCGGGCCACAGGGCGAGGCTAGGGAAAGGTCCCAGGGTGGGCAGACTCGGGGGGCAGCCCGGTTTGGGCAGGCAGCGAATTCAAGATTCTGACCTGAGCCGGGGGACTTCTCTGGGGTCGCTCAGACCGGCTGCGGGCGGACGGGACGGGACGGGACGGGACGGGACGGGAGCGGGGCAGGGGGCACAGCGCGCAGGGAGCGGGATCCGCGCCGTCCGCACTGTTCCTCCACCTGGAAAGGGCGCGGGGACCCCAGCCGAGGCCCGGGTAACTCGGGGAGACAGCGAGACCCTAAGTGCCCCGAAGGACACTGAAGGGGCCCTAAAGGGGCGCGACCATCTCCGACCCCGCACGACCCCGCACAGGAAAGCGCGGACTGCAATGGGGCCCGGCTCTTGAATCTCTGCCTCTGGGCGCCGAGGCCGCCAGAACCTTCCCTTCCAACCCTCCCGACGGGTTCCGCGCCCCGGGGGAGGCCTCGCCCTGCCTTATTAGCGCGGCCTTAAGTCGTGGCTCCACCGGCTCCACCGTAGCCGCGCGTCCCGGAGCCCTAACCGGCTTGTCACCTGCTCGCGCGGGGTGACCAGGGCTGGATATGTGGGATTGCGGAGTCTGAACTGGGCTGGAAGTGTTAAAATGACGCAGATCCCGAATGTCATTATTTGCTGGCTGCTATTTTGTCTTCGAATTTGGAACCTGTGGGATCATTCCATGGTTTCCCATGAACGTCGCCACAGTCAGACTCGCAGTAAGTGGACAAAGCAGCCGAAGGAAGCAGGCCCAGGAAAGCCGGCGGGCCGCTCCAGGGCCAGCCGCGGACCCTCGCCCAGCTTCCGCGCCCGGGCCTCGCTCCCTCAGCGGCCCGAGCCCAAAGCCACGTGCGCCACCCACCCTTCCTACTCCCGGAGGCCGAGGGCCAGCGAGTCCGGCCTGGCCTGTCACTAGGACAGAAGGCCCCAAGCCCCGGGTCAGGCAGGGCGAGGCAGGGGCGCAGGCTCGCGGTTGAGGGTCTTGGGGCTCCGGCTGGGGGCCGGCTGCCCCACGTAACTGCCTGCGTTGGTGTCCAGCTCCAAGGAAACGCACTGCGAAATGGTGTGACAGCTCGCAGCGTTTTACGAGGGGTGTAAACCTACAAAGAGTGGGGAGAGAATTCCGAATTCCCCCAGCCTGCCACCCGGCGTCCGCATGCTGCACATTTCGGCAGTTCACGCCTTGCGGGCTAATTGTCCCTGTTCGGAGGCCTGGAGGCTGGTCCACAGCAGTGCCCAGCGGCGTGGGGACACTGCTGCGGGGCGACCAGGCTGCGGCGGCGGGGCAGCCGGTGTGGCTCTGCCCCAGGAGCCAGCGCAGGGCTGCTGACTGCGCGCCCGAGGCCGGCGGCCTGAGCGCGTGGCGGCGAGCGGGGCTGCGGTGGGGCCGCTCGGTCCTGCCGCTTGGCTCGGGCTACTCGCCACGAGAAGGAAGCTCAGGGCCCGGCAGCCGGCCGGGAACGCCCCCAGCTGAGGGGAGGCAGCAGGGGCCTGCGCCACCAGGGCCACCTGCGCACATGTCGTGTGCCGGGCGCGAGGACTGTCACCGGGCGGCGGGCGGAGTGCAGACCTGCGTCTCCGGGACTAAGAGGCTCGGGGCCAAGTCGATCCCAGACAACCGAGGTTCGGAGGCCGGCCAGGGAGAGGGGGTGCTTGAGAAGGGCGGTGGACGGACTGTCGGGGAGGAGGTCGCAGCAGGCAGGGCAAGATGACGGGGTGCAGTGGCCCACCCGGGGCTAGGGAAGTGGTGGCCGAACGCACCCAGGACAGGGCTCGCTTTCCAGAGAGGGCCGGGGCCTGTTCTAGAGCCGGCGAGCCCTCAACCTCGAGGGCTTCCCCGTTTCTGGGATGAGAAAAGGAGGGGCTGGTAAACTGGGCAACAGCGACGTACTGGAGGCCCTCGTCTTCAGTTCGTGGGTACCCGGGAAAAGGCTGTGCCCTGGAAAGAAGGCAGGGCGGCTGGGGCTGCGGGGCCCGACGGAGTCAGGGGAGGACAGGCGTCCCCCAGGAGGAGCGCAGGGCTGGACTCTGAGCCCAGGGACACAGGGCAGACCGACGGTGAGCGGCTTGCCTCCTGCGGGGAGTCCGCCCCAGCGTGGGCAAATACAACCTCCGTGGCAGATGAAAACTTAAAGTCGCCTTTTACTCTGCCAGCTGTATGGGAACTGCTTCTCCCTAAATTGTGTTTTCTGCTGAAACCAGTAAAACCGACTCCATTTACACCTGCAATATTGGATAATTAATATTTCGAGTTTTTGAATCACAAGTTGGGCCGACCTTTAGCAAAGGGGAGCTGGGTGGGGGCCAAACAGCGCCCGCCACCGCGTTGCGCCTACCCGTTGGTAGATTTCACTCCACTTTTCGCTCCGTAGAAAGATTTCTCTCCCCTTTGATTCCCCCTGCCCAAGACACTTCTCAGACTTCTGGGTTCAAATACTCTTTAATATTTAAAGAAATGGTTCTCTAACGCTGTTGGGAATCCGGTGGCTAATAAGGGAGTGCAGCCTGTGAAGGGGGGCGTAGAACTGGGGTAGCCAGGGAGAGAAAGAGGAACAGGCCGTTGAACAGGCAGGCCTGCTCCTAGGAGGTGCAAACGACGGTGCATCCGCTGTCGTTTCTTAATTCGAACTTCTGCAAACTCTTTTTTTAAAAAGCGCCTGCCTTCCATGTTCCCAACCTCTAAATTAGTGAAACCAGATTGTCCTAATAAGACCTTTTGTTGGAAACACATGTAGTCATAAAAAGGTAGACGGAAAGTCAATTAGACACGCGCGCGCACACGCACGCCCACAGGTCGGCGCAGAGTGCGCCCCGGGCGCAGCTGGGCCCGGCGGCGGCGGGATGCAGACGCCCAGGGCGGCGCGGGAAATGGGTTTGTCACAAAGGCAGAGGCGTAAACGCGGCGCGGGGTAGTCGCCCATCCCCACCGCGCTCTTGGCCCCTCGCTGCCACCTCCTCCTGGCGGGGAAGCGCCCAGAGAGCGCGCACCTTCGCCAGGGTGCAGCCCAGCGGACCGCCGTGCAGATCCCCGCGCAGCCCCGGCGTTGGCCACACCCGCGGCGCCAGAACTGTTCTGTAGCCCCGCGCTGCAGCCGGGCCGGCACTCCGAGTTCGGTCCTCAGTTATCTCGATTGGCAGTGAGGAGGGACAGAAATACATCGTTAGAAGGGTAGCCTGGACATGTTTCTCTTTAGAGGAGGCAGCGAAATCCTCGACCAAGGGAGGTCACTGAGCTCCCTACGACGAATGTCAAGAACAAGAAGCGAATCCTGTGTATCTTACAGGCGGGGACAGGGGCCTAGGCGGCCGGCTTCTCTTATTGTTTGGGAGAAATTGACAGTCCAGTGACTCCCATCCGCTTTGGAGCGCAGGGCCATTTGGAGACTGTCCGGGCAGCGACTGCGGCCTGTAAAGACTGGGGCCTCAGGCTGCCAGGACTGCCCCGGGGCTGCAGACCCCCTGCTCTAGAAGCCGGTGAGCCCCTGCCTCCACTGTCCACCCCTGGGGCTCTTGCACCGGAGACGTGGCCAGCCCCTGCCTCTTGGTCAGCGACCTTAACCCTCCCTAGGCAGCTCAAGCCAGAGCCCATGTGTCAGGCGCTCAGGGGTGGACCACACGGGTCCCTGCGGTTGCTTCATCTTCCAGGGCGTCATTTTAGATTCGACACGAGTGAATAAATCGTTTCCAAACCAAGATGCCCTGACCCTTCTGCCCCCCTTGAAAATACCCAGCAACTCCAGAATGGCACCTTTCCCTGTACAGACTCAGATCAGCTCAGGTGTGAGCTGTGACTGCTGTCCCAGGCCAGCAGCCTCATCTGGGGCCTTTTGTCAGTTTTAAATATCTGTAGATTTTCAGCTATTGGTCACTAGACCAATTTGATTTATATTTTGAAAGAAGTGTTTCTTTTACAACTCCACTCTTAGACCCTGTTTACTGTGCCTGCCTTGCAGGGCAACCCCCTGAGGCCGACCTCCGCTGGGGAGACGGTTACCTACACAGCCCTGGGCCATGGGCACGGGGAAATTTCAAATCCTTCTGGGCACTGCGACCCCTGCCTGCCTTCTGCTTCTGGCCCAGCTCCTTCCCTACTCTGAGAGTTTGTATTTATTTTTCACCCTTCAGGAGAGATGGGGTCAGAAGAAGCCATAGAGGGTACAAATTTTAGAAGCCAGGGGGTGTATGAGAGAAGGAAATAAGACTTGCATTTTGCTTATTTTTCTTTCAGGGGTGTAAGAGTTTTGGGGGTAAGAAACTTCCTCAGAAGAAAAAGTAAAATGTGGGGGCTCAGCAACCTCCATCCAAGCCATGTAAGCTCGATCCACAGAGCGTTCCCCGGAGCTAGAGATCAGACCTTCCCGGGAGGTACTTGGATAAAGGGCCAACTTCTGGTGGCCACTCAGTGTCCAGACATTTACAGAACTACCTGTGGGCTTGGGCCATTGTGACCCAAGTCAGTCCTCTTTGTCCAGCTCTGTTTTATTTTGATCCATCATTTTGTTCTTTACTCTCTTTTCAACAATACAAAGAGGATATTGGGTAGCATTATTTATCCACAAGAATTTGAGTTCTTGTGAATGAAGTAGTTTGCTGAGGAGGCTAACAACATTCAGTTAAAAACCAGTGACCTCAAACATTATAAGTAGTATCAACAATCTCGATTTCTCTAAATGCGATTTCTTATGAAATCAATCAATGTAGGGATACACTGCTGAGACGTCAGAGGATAGACAGTCACCAGCGGGTTTATGTCCCACCTGTGGAAGTTTCTGGGTAAGAAATCTCCACGGGGGTCTGAGTAGTCGTAGGTTCTCAGTGTAATTTGTCTAATTTGGGGAGGCAGCCTCTGGGACCTGGTCCTACAGGGAATGATGGCTGTCGACCTTAGGATTAAGGCACACAAAAAAATCACCACGTTCCGCTTGTCCTGGAACCATTTTGTTCGAAAATATATCTGGGAAGTTGGTTCCAGGGGTGATCGCCACTTTAGGGGAGGGACAAATGGTGGCTGATGAGGACAATTTTATGAAAGAAGGTGAACACGTCAGGGCAAATCAGTCATAAATGAGTCCTCAGAAGGGTCAGAGGACAGGGGGACCCGGGATGCTCCTGCAGCTCTCACGGGGCAAGGAGGGGCCGACAGTGACCCGAGAGCTGCCAGGGTCCAAGGCACCGGCCCTTTCGCCGCACCCGGTAACCAGGGTCTCAGATACCGAGGACCTTGGGGCTCACTGTTACCACGATTGATTTCCCCAGACGCAGCTCAAGTGAGGAATGGATTTGTGCGTTAATCTGAGTCCCCAAGGCCCGAGTTATGAGAAAGGACAGGGCAGGTCCTCTGATTCCTGTTTTGTGTGCTCTCGTGGAGTCGTTTGCTAGGACCGGGAATTTTGCTAAGGGGCGTGAGGGAGGGACTGTGCGGAAACCCGTGCCAGAGTGGAGATCGCGCCGACCTGGACCGCAGGCTCTCTTTAGACCTCACTTTTCGGGGGACTGGGGAATAGAAGGAGTAAGTAGGGCGAGGGAAAATTAATGCCGTTACTCAGTGAGGAATTTTAACTTTTAGAACAGGGCCCGTAGTATCTTAGATTTTCCCGCCCCTCACGTCGGCGGGGCAAAGATGCCAGCGCCCCCGCGTCGCCGCCTGGCCCCCCTGGGTTCCCCGCGCCCTGGCCCAGCTCTAGCCCCATGCGGACATGCCTGCCGGGAGCGCCTCTCCTTGCCTTCTCCCACCCAAAGGGGAGCATTCCTTCCAGGACGCTGGCACCTACCCTGCCTTGGACTTGGGGGAGAGAGACTTGCAGGATGACGCCCCCTACAAGCAGCAGAAGGTGGGAAATACCAGTGTTGTGCGGACTGTGCCCGGGCTGCGTGAATATGCGCTCGGGGCCTCTTCACAGCAGCCTGGAGAGAGCTGGGCGCACGCTGCCTTCCTCTCCTTAGAAGTGAGGGTGGTACGGATTCCAGGGTGAGCGGGAAGGGGGACTAGGCAACCCCGGGTCAGTGGGTGCCAGCGCCGGTGCCCGGGTCCCACGGGGAAGAAGTTGGGCCGGTAGAGGCGGGTGAGGCATGTCTGCAGGTGAACTCCCGGGCGTCTAGAGCAAGACGGGGCGAGCGGAGAGACGGAGGGCAGGCTGTTAGTGAGGGGCTGCAAACCTGCCCCGGAAACCCTCGCGGCCCCTGTGGAGTCCCCAGTGAGCGCAGTGTCACGTTGGGGCTGGGGTGACCCTCTTTCCTGCAGAGGTAGACCAGCAGCACCCCGGGTCTTGGGGGATGCCTGTAACTTGGACCCAAGGCCATTCCCATTCCCCAAACTCGACCTCGCAGCGGATCCCTCCCTTTTTGGGCAAGAATTTCAAGAGACTTACAGGACTTAATGAAGACAAAGCCTAGCCCTGCTCTATAAATCTTGGAATTTTTTCACTTCTGACTTTAACCACATGCTGATGTCAGAGGAAGCAAGACAAGGCTATATGGGGAACAGCAAACTGCCAGAATGACTGTTGTGTCATCTTAGTACCCATAGTTCGTGGTTAACCCATACCTTCCAGGATAATCTGAGCTGGGGTGGTCACAGGAAGCAGAACCCAAAGGAAACTGCATTCCAAACACCGTCTGACAGTGAGAGCGTCCACCCTGTTCACATCATGACATTTTAAAGGACCTCACAGTGCTGGGAGGTGCTGTAGTTATAAATAAGCATAAAACCAGATGGGTACTGTCTCAGCAACCTAAATATGTATAGGGACACCAAATCTTTTCAAAGAGGATTCGGATATACATCTTAAAGGCTCAGGGGTCCATCTCAACCAGCATTTGAACCAGGATATGTTCAGTTTAATCAGCCTGACTGTGGCGAAGAGAAAGGCCGGCCTTGCCAGCCCTTCAGACAGAGAGAGCCACATTTTCTTAGGTTTCCGTTATATTTATCCACACACATTCGTGCTAATGTGCCAAGAGCTTGCCTGAACCACCTCAGCCTGGTGGGAGGGAGGGGAATCATACCCCAGCACCTGCTCCTAGCTGCCACCCTTCCCTTCTCTGCATTCCCCCCGTCCCTGCTGGCTGTCCAAGATTCGTGTGCCACAGAGAACACTGGTGTCTGGAGGCCACAGAACCCCCCTAAAGGCCATTTCCTGGAGTCCTCAGGAAAGGAGAGGGCTGTTGAGCTCAATGATATGTAATGTGGGTCATGCATTATCCTGTCTGATCATTCATTTTATAATAGCCCCCTTAGAGACTTCTTGGGAATAGACGTGGGGGAGCTGGTTCCTGTTGATTCTTTTTCAGGAAGTTCATAAATACATGAAGTTGAAAGTTCCAGTGGAAATAGGTATTGAATCTAAACCTTTATACTCATTAATCACCATTATCCAGACTGGGAGGTGACACTACCTAATTACATACATTGTGACTTTTCTTTCCATTTCTTAGCAGCGCCACCTCCCTAAATACAGCTGCTAGGTGCTTGCCTGTGCTCAGCCGCTGTTTAAGAAGTGGCAGAATGAGCTCCCCACCTTTATGGACCTGCTTGCAACCTAGCCTAAGTACTGGCCCCATCCCCTCTCCCCCCCACTTTGTACTCTGCCTAGGAGGTCTCCTCTAGGCTCCCCATTTCAGTGACCATCTGTATATTAATGACTCCCAGCTTATATGTTTAAGGCCTGCCTTGGCGCTGCAGATCCATATACATGCAGCCACCCAGCAACATTTCCATTCGAATATTACAAAAGGGTTTCAACCTCAAAAACAACAAAAAATGGCACTAACGAGCTTCCTTTCCCCAATCTGATCCAAATAGCTTTCCCCGTTTTCCTGCATCACAATATTTGGGAGTAAACTCAGAAATTTCACCCTTGACTCCTTCCTTTATACCTCTGTCTAACGCGTCTCCAAATCCCAGCACGTTTATCTACTAAAGCCAGGTGACCCGACCTCCTTTATAAATCTCTGTGATGTCTCACTGGCACTGCTGAGCCGGCCTCCTAACTGGATGTCCCTGTGTCCTCCGTGGTCCTCTCTGGGCAGGGGCTGGACAGAGTGGACCCAACAGACCCTCATCCATATGTGCTGAATGGATAAAGGCATGAGTGAATGCTAGAACATTCTTTTACAAACTCATTTAAAAAAAAATCATGGCTTGCTTTCTCTTTGAAACACGCAACTGTTTTCCATCCTTTTCTACATCAGGACAGAATTGTTTGTTTTGCTATTTTTTTCTTTTTATGTCACCCGATAGTCTCTGTTTCCACCCCTGCTCCAGCAATCTGCCCATTCACGAAGTGCAGATCTAAACCTATTTCCCCACATGCCCATTAGGCTAGACCGTTTCCCCAGGTGCGCCCGGGTCCCTTCTGCTCCTCTGACTTCCTTGTTTAAGGCCTGCTCCCCTCACAACTCCTGGAGGCACTTCCTCTGCTGCTTTTCAGATGGAGCAAAACCCTTTTCTCAGTGCCTACTGGAGAAAGGATTCAGCACCTTCACAAGTACCGCTCAATTATTTTCTAAATATTTTATGGTTGTTCATTTACCTTGAGAATTTTCTTAAGATGAGAGAACTTCTTTTGGGAGGGTTGGGTATATTCCACCTTGCATATAACAAAGCTACAGTAAGCAAATAAATTAGATAAAGTGTTTTGGCATAGTGTGGTTCTGCTGCTTTTTCCATCTCTAGCTGCAGGGAATTTAAAAAAAATGTAAGATTACCTCCAAGGTGCAGTCCATACTCATTTAAGCAAACGTTTTAATTTATATTGAAAAGTTTACAGGGGAAGGTAGTCATCTGTATTTCACCATCCTGAGGTAGGCGCAGTGAAGAGCCTGGTGTTGATATATTTCCTTTGTATTTTTTACACAGTTTTTATATTAACATTATCACTGATTTTTCTTTAATCAGTGGAGGAATTTTTAATCCCATGTGCAAAGATTGTGTTTCCCCCAAGTTAAGAAAATACACACACATTGAATCCACTCGCTCTCATCAGGAAAACTAAACAAAAAAACATACAAGCAACAAACAGAAGTTACGCGAGGATTATTAGGGCTGCGACATCTCTGTCCTTTCCCAGCGTTCTCGAGTTCCAGCGGGTACATGTCCAGCAGAGAAGGCCTTCACAGTGTTTTTCTGCTGGGCTGTTCTAGCTGGGAACCTTCCCTAGACATGAGCACATGTCTCCTTTTGAGATTGGAAAAGACTGCATAATACCTAAAGGACATTCCGAGACCACAGATGGAGAGCTACTGCTCAAGAAATTAGTTTTTACGTGGTTTAGTAAGGAAGGGCTCTACCAGATGAGCAGGGGAGAAAATATCGTAAGGGACTGAAAGTTTTCTATTATTATGGATCCCTGGATCTTGAATTTTCTTCTATTAAATGTTACAAGACTCATACATGCTTTTGGAAAAAAAGAAGGGAAGTGACATTTATTTCTCTGTATCTTTGTAAGAGAGAATGATTGGTGGGGGAGGAGGGGTAGATGGGGACACATGCCAGGACACAGTAGAGTGTTTTGACAGAGAAAGAAGCACTTAGAAAAATCAAAGATAATGATTTATCCAGATGTGAAAGTCTACAGCACCCCTGCCCTACTGAAAGTGATAATTACAGAGAAAATATAAATTGTTACTATGAAGTCTATTTAAAAATTGTTCCCAGGCAAAATGACGTGAAAACATTTGCCTGATGAAGGCAAATATTTTCTTTAGGGAAGGTATTAGGAAGTAATATAAAATCATGTAGAACAAATTTTTTAAATTATGAATTAGATGTATCTTAATAATTAATCTTTCTCTTCTCATGAGAAGAGAGGAACAGAGAGAGTAATACTCGTGTTTGAGGATAAAAACCACCCTTGCCCAGTAAGTCTGCATTTCCCCACGTTGCCTGTTTCTAAGGAAGGAAAGGGGAGCCACCCAGGCTTCGCCTGCAGCCAGATGTGCTGTTCGGCAGCTGTATTCCTCAGATTCCAGGGAAGACCACAGGATGAATCCCCAACACATTTAAGAAATAAAAAGGAATTTAGTTCATTAATCACGAAACTGAAATCTGTAGTTTTGTTATGCGTATTTCAACGGCTGAATCCCTTCTGACAAGAGACCGGAAAATACTCTCACTCACATTTGACAGTTGGGGGTCTGTGCTTAGCTTCCCTCAGGGAAGGAGAGGTTTTCCTGGTGTGGTTATTTTTACTGGGAATATGTGGAGTGCTATTTAAATTTATATCCTCTTTTTTTTTTTTAGTTCTTTACCCCAACGTTCTTCTTTCTCGGTGGAGAGAGTATCTGTTGTCTGCCCTGTTGGGGTTTTTTTTTTGGTTTGGAGATTTCAGGGCTGGGCTACCTTGAACGGTGAGGAAATTCCAGCTGAGTCTGGAAAGGCCTGAAAGTCAGCTTATTACAACTGAATTAATATACTCAGACTGCTTGCTTGTTTAATTCCATTCCCTGATTATTTGTATAAATCCATGACTTGGTCTTCAAGAATTAATAGCATGAATAATATGAACAGTAAAGTGAGATAAAATATGAAACTGCTTCCCAAACTCTAGGAACATATGTCCGTGCTATTATGTTTTATGAAGCCTAGTTCTGGAAAGCAGGTAAGGACAGCATAATTATTTTCATTTTACAGGGAAGAAAACTGTCCTGGACAATTTGAGTGAGCTACTGTTAAGTGACTGAATCTTTCTCTCCTAATCCCATTTTAATTTTTGTCATCCTATCCAACCATCTTTGACATCAACCTAATCCTGGCAGATGCATTATTGCCAGTGAAACAAAACCACATAGGAAGAAGGAAGCTCACAAACGGCCCCAGTGAACAGCTGGCCCTTGGTTCCTCCGGCTCGTGTCCTCCTCCGTGCGGCGGCGCATAGCCACTGTACCATCTTCCACGTGGGAACGCAGCGGGCCCCAAGCCCACTGAGAAATAAAGGGCCGAATGTATGTGCATTATTGTACCAGAGAGAATCATGGAGACTTTAAAAAATGAAGCTATCAATTCAAAATAAAAAAATAAGTATGTATTTCAGTAAATACACACTCTGCTCTCCAAAAGCTAGGTTCTTAATTTCGATTTAGGGACATGAGGCATTGCAAATCATTTTACTTTGAATTCAGAAAATTCTGTGTTAAATTACAGTTCTACAATTTATTTACTGTGGGTGTTAGTCAGATCTCTAGGCCCTCGTTTCCTCACCTCCGAAACTGGCATTACTCTCTGTCACACAGATTTCTTGTTGGCCATACTGAGATAATAGCCACAGAGACCCAGCGCCCCACGTTCCCCCACCGCAGGAACCCACGGGAGGCATGCCCTTCCCTGCCCCACACTTGCACAGTGGCTCTGAAGTGCCACTTATTCCAGGCTTGGATAGCTATCCCATGTGGTTTCCCAGTCAAAGTTGGAAGCCATATAATGCCACTAAAATTAGGAATATTCCCATATTCCAAAAGGCATGCTTTTACAACATGTCACTTGCTGAGTGACTAAGTAGACACCTGTTTTTGATCTGCAGTTGGGAACTGTACAGTCTTTAGTGACACGCATGAGGCCACACCACAGGCTCCTGACAGTCCCTGGCTGCGGCTACCTCCTTCGGGCCACCTTTCTGCTCTGTAGCAAGAAACAGCAGTGTAGTCTTAACAATCTCTGAGATGGCACACCAACCATTCATGCGCCTGCGTGCTTCAACCGTAGCCATTCACTGTGGACTTTCTGGTACCTGAAGAAGACAAACACCCTCCTCCAATTTAGACACTGCATTTAATGGAGAATATACAACACATGCATAGGAACCAGGTGCCAAGACTTCTCATCGCAGACCCGATACAGACAATGAGTTTCCAGACCGACCACGTTCAGCTTTCTCTGTTGCGTGATGTGTCTGACAGCGCTGTCTTACCACTCCTCTGAGAGTTCTGTGGGGTTTGCTTTGCATGTGAATAATATTCACTATGTTAACTGTGATCATACATAGAGTGGCCATTCCTCTCTTGACTTAGATTTCCTAACAGTAGGGTAAGACCAGCATTCTGTCATCATTGAGGTGTGAGACCTGTTTTCACTTGTGTTGCTTTGAAATCGGACAAACCTGGAAGTTGTGCAGGCTGCGTTTCTATGTCATGAAGCACCCGGGACTCTTGTTTTTACCAAGTGAGTAACAAGGAAATCTCCCTGGCATTCCTTAGTAATATAATAGGCTTGCGGGACATGTGGAGAAAATGTGTCACTGTGGGTGGGGCACCCCGATGACAGTTTATCGCATGGCTAGCGCCCTCGTGGACCAGGGAGGTGGTTCAGCAAACGCTTTATGCAAGAAGCAGACTACCTGTTGGAGGTGAGGCGCACAGCCCACCAGCAATATCAGTTCATGGAGAAGTGTATGTTTGCTGAAAGTGCTGGGTGCGCTTTATGGTACTATGTGGGGTCTCTGCTGGGATGTGGGGAGCTGGACACCATCCTCCTTCAGAGGCACAGGGTCCTTCCTAATCCAGGAAAACCTGCCTTGGGTCTTGTTCACTTCATCTCTTTCTTGTAACTCTCTTCCATATGCAGTATTTTTCATGATTTAGAGGAAAAGAGAAATAACGGGCAGCCTGATTATTCCTCTTGTGCATCTTTAAAGCATGATGCCTGGTTCACCCTCACCAGAACGAACTAAAATGTCTTGACTTGCAGATTCCAGGGCCCCACCCATTCCAGTGAATCAGAATCTCCGCAAAACGTGCATTTTAGTCCCTGATGGTTTTTATACACCTCAGAGTCTGAAACCTCAGATGTGGGCCGAGTTCTCTCACAGGACTGGCCTTGAACAGTGAGTTCCTCCAGGCTGTGCCCCACACCTCGGGGGTTCCACTGTCACCTGCCACCCCCCGGCAGTCTTCTCTCCACAATCAGTGGATAGAGTTTGAAGGCAAGTGCGGAGAGCAGGTATTTCATACATCAGAGCACACACATATCATGGTGCTTTTCATATCGTAGATAACTTAATAGCAGCTATTGAATAAATGAACATGTGAACAAACAAACAGGACATTAAAAAA